AGTTGCGTCAGTGGTTGGGGCTAGCAAATTATCTCCACAAGTACACGAAGAATTACGCCGGATTGATCCAGCCCCTCTCATCACTCCTGAAGAAAGATGCCACATGGGTCTGGTCACCCGCGCACCAAGCCGCCTTCGACTCAGTGAAGAAGAGCCTCGCTGAGGCGCCGATCCTAGCTCTTCCCGACGACTCGAAACCATATCACGTCGTTTGCGACGCGAGCGACTTTGCCATCGGCTGTGCGCTGATGCAGTTTGACGACGAAGGACGTGAACGGGTCGTCAGCTATCAGTCTCGACAGATGAAGCCAGCGGAGCGCAACTATCCTGTCCACGACAAGGAGCTTCTCGCGATGCGCTACGCTCTAATTAAATTCAGAGTGTACTTACTCGGCGAGCAAACCTTCGCAGTGTATACCGATCACGCATCGCTAAGGACAGCGATGAAGAGCCCTCATCTTTCCCAGCGAATGGCTCGCTGGTTGTCGTTCTTCTCCGAGTATAATTTCGTGGTTCACTACAAACCCGGCAAGAACAACATCCTTGCAGATCCTCTGTCTCGTCGTCCAGATTACGACCCACGCGATTCGCTGGGTCGACAACCGCTGCATGATGAAGACGACGAAGACAACTGTGCTATGTGCTTGGCGTCGGGATTGAACCTGACGAGCGTGTCTTCAGAAACCCCACTCCGCGACGAAATCCGGTCTGCGTATGAATTCGATCCGGTCTATTCGAGTATCCTGGAACATCTCCGCTCGCCCAGTGAAAAGACACTGAGTGTTTTGTCCCGCTCCACACGCCATCAGATCGATAGGTATCGGATTGAAGACGGGCTGTTAACGTACAGCATCGATCGCTTCGATGCTTCGCGTGTAGTGGTTCCCAACGATCCTGACTTGCGCTCGCGGATCATCCACGAGTTCCACGATATCCCCCTTGGCGCTCAATTGGGCCGTGAGAAGACATTCGCCGCAGTGTCGCACGACTTTTACTGGCCCCACATGTATAAGTGGGTGCGCAAGTGGGTAAGGACCTGCGAGATCTGCCAACGCGTGAAACCGTCCGCGTCATCGCAGGCTCCCCTGCGTCCCTTACCAGTGGCCACCGAGGCATGGCGCTCGGTGTCGATGGACTTCGTCTTTGGCCTCCCACCCGACTCCGTCGGGCGGCTCCGGTGTCCTGGTATTCGTCGACAGGTTCAGCAAGATGGTTCACCTCATCCCGGTCCCCGGATACGATCACCGCGACCGGATACCGCGGTGGCCTTCGTGGATGCAGTCTTCCGTCATCATGGCATGCCCGAGTCCATTGTTTCGGACCGCGATCCGCGGTTCACGTCTGCTTTCTGGACGAAGCTCTTCGAGCTATCAGGGACAAAGCTGCTGATGTCGACGGCCGCTCATCCGGAGACGGATGGCCAAACCGAGCGAGTTAATCGCGTCCTTGAGGACGTACTTCGCAGCTATGCGACGTCGTTTACGAGCTGGAGCTCGTTCCTTCCGCTTGCTGAGTTCGCGCTGAACAACGCGGTTCACGCGTCGACTGGCTTGACTCCTTTCTTCGTCAACAACGCTCGGCACCCTCGCGTTCCAGCTCTCCTCGCCGTGGGCCGTCCCACGGCGCCGTGTGGCTCCACTCTGGGTGGGGGTGAAAGAGGCGACAACCACTTTGTGACAACTCCGGTTTTGAACCCACAACCGGTTACCATACCGGTTGCCGACAAGCCTTCTACGCCAACACCGGTAATGGGCCCTCAACCGGTTTCCATACCGGTTGCCGCCTCCTCCTCGAGTGCAGCCTCATCTTCAGCGACTGTTAACGCAGTGACACACGCCCAGGCCAGGAAGGCCCTGACGACTCCCCGCGACGCAGTGTCCCCTCTCGCCTCGTGGACGAATCGTGCCCTGATCAGTCCTGGCACCGCTAACGCGGTGTCTCCATCAGCGAACTACGCGCCAAAGCAACCGGCACATCCGGCTGATAACACCGCTGTCTCAGACTTCCTCCTCCAGCGCCAAGCAGTCACCCGATACGCCCGCGACGCGCTGCAGACGGCGGTCGACAAGCAGAAGGAAAACGCGGACAAGCGCGGCCGCAAACACACAGTAAAGTTCGCGACAGGAGATCGAGTGCTCCTGTCGACTTCAGGAATCAGAGACTCTGCCGTCACCAACCTCGGCGCGAGTAAACTCGCACCGCGCTTTATTGGGCCATTTACGGTGACTTACGTTATTGGCGAGGCTTACACACTGGATATCCCCACGTCGCTGCGACTACATCCGACGTTCTACGTCGGACGACTCAAGCAATACCTGTTCGCTACGATTCCTTCTTCGACTCAGTCTCCTGAGCCACCGGCGCATATAGCGGCCGCCCCGCCCGACGCGCGCGCCGAGCCATCGCGCCATTCACACCAGGCGCCTGCTCCAACGTCCCGCTCTGCAGACTACCATGTACCGCGCGCTCAAGAAGCCTCACGCGCGCCAAGAGCTCCCAATTCGACTGACGAGTCTCAGTCGCAGTCCTCACGGCCTTTGCAGCCGCGTTCTGGGCCTCCTCCGCCTCCTGATACGCCGTCCAGAAGCTCCCCGCGAGATCTCCCTCGCGGCTCCCAACCAGACGTCGGTCGTATCACCGGGACGGTCCCCCGCCGATTGTCGACTCAGCTGGCGAGATCCGCTGGATAGTCGAGAAGATTGTCGATCAAAAAGACACGCCCCGTCGGTCGGGGCAGCGCCATGTGTCCACCAGTCGCACGGCTCCCGCCGCGCGCCGCTATAGGGTACGATGGCTTGGCTTTCCGGCGGACCAAGATACGTGGGAGCCCTGCGCGAATCTTCTTCGCGATGTCCCGGATGTGATCCAAGAGTACGACTCCAGTCTTCCTGCGCCGGAGAGCGCCGCGAATAATCACGCGGCGGCCGAGAACGGGATCTCCAGTCTGCACGACCACGCGAGCGTGATCGAGAACGACGCTGCTGGCGATCGCGCGAGCGCGACCGAGAACGACGACCCGAGTTCTCGTAATCCCAACGGAGCGGCGGAGATGCGCTTCGTCGAGATGAGTGTCGGCGCGAGCCGGCGCGACTAGCGGCGCTGGCATTTTCGGACAGCGAGCGACGGTAACGCTGGATCCAGGCATTCTCGCGATCACTGAGCGGATGCTCGGCGACCTGGGCTCTCCACTCGTCCGTAGTCGGGCGAGACGACACACACCTCCTGCAGCCTTCAGCAACTCGCACGTAGCAGATGCGGTCGTCGGCGTTCCAAGCGCTGTCGCAGATTCGTACACGCAGCTCGCCCAAGGAATGGCCCCCGATGATTTCTTCCCGGTATGCGATCCAGTCGACGAGATTCTCTTCCTGCGCTTGCGTCCGGTTCCAGCGCCGGATGAAGGCGCACCACGACTCCTGTAGCGCACTGTGGTCGACGCCGTCCACCGGCTTCTGGCGCAGCGCACGAAAACGCCGGAAGAGGTCCTTCATCTCGTCCAGAGACTCCGGATCTTGCGCTCCGGAGATATCATACAGGGCCCAGGGTCTCAGCACCTCGTTCATCACGTGAATGCCGCGTGCCGCGCTCGTCAGCGACGTCGCCGTCGCTGGAATCTGCTGCTGTTGCTGTTCCATCGTCCGCTCCTGTTGTCTGCTGTGCAAGTCGTGTTGTACTTCTCCTGCGTGGCGCAGGATCTGTCTCGTCCCCGCCTCGTTCGTTCCTGTTGGCCACGATTTTCTTCTTGTTTCCCTTTTGATTGATTTGTTCCCCGCCCATCGCTTATGTTGCGTAAGTGCAACTTTAAGAGGGGGGTGATGTAGTGGGCCACGCCATTACATAAGTAGGTAGATTTATATTACAAAAGTAGGTGCAGCAGCACATGGCTAGCGTGTGCTGAACTGCCGTCATCCTATTGGTTGATATATGGGGAGCCAGACCCATTATCACCCAATAAGGGTTTGACGTGTATTTGAGTGGTCAGGGCAAGCTGCCCTGGACCTAAATAAAAACAGAGTTGATTTTCCTTCAGACTAAGCACTTGGTTTCACTATCGCGGAACTTGCACGCTTCCTCATTATTACGTGTAAGCTAGTAACGGACACTCTAGGCCCGTTACATCAGGTCACTTCGCTCTCTTTTGAATAAAGAGGGGACCTGTGAACTGCCGTTCACTGAGTTTGTATACTCTCGGAAGCTAACTTCCTCTAGCGCAAGGTGCTGTGTGACCCCGTCACATTAACGTCGCAAACTGTCCAGCTCACATTCATGGCTCAATGCTACTGAACTGCATCTGGCCGTGTTACGGCTACCTGCAATGTCAACAAATCTTGCAGCTCGCTGATCAGCGCAGTATCATGAGCGTTGTGAGACTCCTCAAACTCCAGCCTTCGCACTTTTTTCTTCTTGATGTGCTTGCTGCGACGAGTAGCCTGCTTTTACGCGGGGGTTGAATAGATGTCGGCATGCGCTGTTGCTAGGAGGATCAATTTCTTGTGCTCGCTGCATGTCAACAACCTCTTGGAGCATCTCTAATCTGGCTGGTGCAATATCCCACGCTGACTTAATTTAAGGCAGCCCGAGCAGTTTCCCTTCCAGCGTTATTGTTCTTGTTTTCGGAAATTCTGACTTAAAGAAGACTACCGTCAGCGGAAAGACAACCAAGCAGATTAACACGTTGCCGAAGGCAAATGAGTACAGCAGGAGATGTTGTACATGTATGACGGTGTATACCAGACCAGCAGATGGCAATCAAAGTTTTGTCGACAAATTTCTAAGCTGGTTGTTTGTCAAGAATGGTAAGGTTCTCTTTCTAAATTTGCAATGCCCTATTTTTAGCACAAAAATAGTGAGAAAATGCTGATACAAAACTGTTTTATTATTAAAATAACAAACTTCAGCTACGTAGCGCTAATTATTATTTTTAATATTGGTCAAAAAAATTAAGCGACTCCGCGCTGTTTTAACTTCAATAATTATTATTGGTCCGGAAAGGGTAAAAAACAATGGGCACCTCGGAACGCCGCGTAGCCCACGTTAGCCTGGAGCCGGGCGCGTCGCACCTCACGCTGCAGCTTCGACTACTCGACGACCGCAGGAGCTTCTTCCGCCCTTGCACTGAGAAATTAGACCGCGTTCGCTTTCGTCTGCAGCTTCTGGCGTCTGCTGTCTCAATTCCCGGAGGCAAGAAGAAGCAAAGGAATGGCGGGACAGCGCCCACAATTCCTGTCAAATTCTTCGACGCAGATGGTCAGCAGATCAACGCAAAGAGAGCGACCGTGGGCGATGCATTAATGCGCACCAAGCAGCTACAGGTCGGCTCAGAGACCTTCACAGTACTCCACAACCAGCCACTAGTGACGGGCCTAAAGGTGCTGGAGCCTGTGATGGCTGGTATTACAGTAAATCCGCTACTTGAGACTCAATTCTGCACTGCCGACGAGTGCTCGTGGTGCTGGTATCGTCGTAACAAAGGCGAAGAGAGCGGTGGGATGTTGGTGAGCTCCGAGAGGAGATATACACCGACCGAGGAGGAGCTGGACTGCACGTTCTACGTGGAATGCCATGCACCAATGATACAGTCAGAGTATGCTGAGGACAGCAAGGCAGAAACCGTAACAATACCGGTACTACCAGGACCTAACCGGTATGTGTTCAAAGAGAGACAACAAATGGGTGCAACCAGTGCGACAGACAAGTATCCTGATGCACACGAAGCGTTCCGAGTCATGAGTTATAACGTGTTATATAACGGTTATGCAACAACCGACCATGCAAAGAAGAACTTGTTCTCCTACGTCGACGACGATGTCATGAAGGAGACGCGTCGGATCCAGTTAATTCTCCACGAGATCGAGGAGAATAACAGCGACGTCGTCTGTCTTCAGGAGATGGGAGAACATGTATTTAACCACTTCTTTAAGCCCATGTTGGCCTCAATCGGGTACCATAGCTTCTACTCGGATAAAACCGGTACAACCAACGAAGGCTGCGCTACATTCATCCGAACTTCGCGCTTTGAAGTGGTCGAACAAGAAACAATTAACCTTTCCATTGCAGTTAAGAACTCGACAATCCCAGCGTCACAGAGTCTCCTACAGGACTTCCCGGAACTCGCCAAAGGCATCGCCCGCATCCCGTCCATCGCACAGTTGCTCATTTTACGATCCAAACTGGACCCAGCCCGGACTATTATCCTCTCGAATACGCATTTATTCTATCGAGGAGACGCACATTTGATCCGGTTGCTGCAAGGTGCTGCAGTAGTGGACACTGTCAGCCAGTGGAAAGCCAAATCAAGCTTCGAGAACGCAGCTGTCGTCATGTGTGGAGACTACAACGCACACCCTCGCTGCGCACTCGTCGCTTTCCTTCTAGACGGACAACTCGATTCCAGTCACAGGCATTGGCAACAAGCTCCATCGTTCCGCTGGAATTTGTCCAAAATTGACGATAAAGACTCCAAAATTCAGGAAAAAGTCACAGAAGTCCGTCCGAATCGCTTTGAACATTCACTCCAGCTCGTCAGTGCGTGTGGCATCCCTGCATTCACGAATTATGTGACGAGCTTTGTGGACACTCTGGACTATATTATGGTCGGGTCCAAGACGCTGCAAGTTCGTGATGTGTTCCCGCTCTTCACAGAGGAGCAAGTGACGCATGAAGTGGCACTACCGTCGTCCACTTTCCCGTCAGATCACATATCTCTTGTCTGTGACTTAACATGGTGAATGAACTGTGCAAAAATATATCCCGCGAGAATTAATATCGACGTTTTACTTCACAAAACTATTTTTGCAGCAGGTCTCTTCGTATTATTCTTGTGGAACTCGTGACAATGGGCTTGAAGAAGGCTCCGTTGTTGGGGTCTTCTTCTTCACTTGGGGAGACTGGCCAGTCCGTGATCGAGGGTGATCGTAGTCTACTAAGCCACTTCGGTGCAAACCCTGTTAGACAGGATAATATATTGAATGTAGCAGTGCGAAAATCCGCTGCTATCCGACGTAACCAGGTCGCAAGAGGTTTAGCGAAGCAGCATACCGACGCCAAGACTCGAGAAGAAAGTCTCAAACCGCAAGTGTCTCGACATCAACGACAGCGGAAGATAGTGGAGAACTATCAGCGACATCAAGCGCAATGTTTAGAGAAGCAAATAAAGCACTCGGAACGTCACGAAGACTCGGATAAAGATGACGATTTCAGTCAAAACGTCGTCTTGATTGTACCAACACGAACGAAGTCAGCTCCTTCCAAGGCCTCAAGTCGCTCACGTCGCTGGTCTCCCATCGTACCGTCCAAAGGAGCCACGAGCTTTCTACGTAACACGAGAATGCGTCAACTATCCGAGAATCAAGACGACGATAGACATTCCGACCAAAGTATTATCTCTACACGGCTGAATCTGTGTCCGAGTGAAGCAGATCTTCCAGTCCAGCCGGTATCAAGTTCAAGGGTGCATCAACTTAAGGAGACTTCAAAGACGGATGCTCATAGCTTCACAAAGGGACCAGCTCCGTGGCTGTCACAAGAGAATAGGTCGTCACAAGTTGTCCTTCGCGAGCTCGCTATTACCAAAGACATAATGATGCGAGAGCAGCTTGTTCGCCAGTTAAAGCAAACGCTACCGACGATCGAGACACTTGTTAAAGACTTTCTCAAAGCTCAAGAAGACCTTAACCAGGCTGAAGCCACACTGGAAGCGACAAAGGTGTCTCCGTCTCGTATGAAGAAGACGGGGTCGTTGATTGGGCTCACTACCACAGTAACTGACGAGGATCAAGTCCAGAACGCTCTGGTAGATGCGGAAGCTACCGTTACCGACTTGACAACTCGCTTGACGGACCTAATTAAGATAATGAGCCACCACATTCAACATGTGGAAATACTTATTCAAGGTTTCCAAGAATCTACGGTTTGTATCGTGGAAGGAATTCTGGCTTGGCGACAATTAAGACAGCGACGAAGACAGCTGAGTAATTTCCACAGACTGTTTCGGTTCCCATGGAGGAGACAGAAGAGAGCCAACTACCTCGTGCATATCGATGACGATTTACGTATGCTATTTCCTTCTCTAGCCATGGAATTGCTACTGGGTCCGAAAGCGACGTATAACCCACTGTTATTGTCAAGAAAAATGGTTAAATCACTTGGACTCTCGTCGACGGGAAAGACTTTTCTGACCGAAAGAGTAGATAAAGATGCAATTATCTGCAGTGACAATTCTCGCCAACGGAGTGAAAACTATACGCTCGTAGCGGATATTTCAAAAATCCAAGATGCGGTGGCCAACTTTATCAAGCGAAACACGTCTATAACCCCTCATGACCGCTTGAGACAGTGTCTTGAAGCGATTTATCAAGAGAAAAGCCTTGAAGCGCAAGAGAAACAACGATGGGGAGAAGAAGAAACACGAGCTCAACGCTCTTATGATCCGTTCTCCACGATAAAATTTGCGGGTGGTGTGGAGGAGACTCTCACTAACTTGATGGCTACACAATCGCCACACGGTAATTTACTTGGAGAACAGCTTCGTATTCGTCAAGAAGACACAAACCGCGCAGTTTTTTCGACTTCTACTACACAAAACAATCAGACGGATACAGTCAACGAAGTTCTGCAAGTAAATCCCGAACGTTTGCGTCTTTTCTTCGAGAAACGAGCGACTTTGCTCGAGTCTCCCGCCAATTGCGAGCTTCGTGACATTCAACCTCGCGGTCAGAAGAATAAAATACGAGGGAAAATACTGGTGCGGAAAAATAACGAGAAACGTGTGGAAAATTATCTCGCACGGAAAATCCAGCTTCAATATCTGGCACATCGTCAACGTCAAGCGATTCGAACTAACTTGACCCAATTGGTTGAAAAGATCCAAACTAGTGTAGTAGATATCCAGCGAGTTTTCCGCGGGCATCGCGCTAAATGTGACTACAAGTGTATGAGGAGCGTATGGCTGGAGCACAGACAGCAAGTGGCAGCAGTGCGTACGATCATCAACGCGTTCCGACGGTATCAACGACGTCAACGTCATCGACATTCGATGACGGTCGAGTCTATTGCTCAAGTGCAACTTATCACTCTATTAGCCAATAAACTGAATGATCCGGATCAGGATGCAGAGAGGTACCGTCGCGTCGGTGAAGAGCGACGTCGACAACGGATTGTGTTGCTACAGAAGCACAAAATGGAGCAGCAAGAGTTGGAACGGCAGCGTATCACAGCTGCTATCCGGATGCAGGCTGTGGTGCGTGCACATTTGGCTCAGGGACAAGCAAGAATATTACGACAAGAGAAGAAGGCACACATGAATGCTGTCAGTGCGATGGCAATCCAGTCCAACATTCGCAAGTTTTTGATTACGCAACAGGAAAAACGACAGCGTTTTCAGAATGATCTGAAGCGTGTGAACCAATCAGCAGTTCGGATTCAGTCCATCTACCGGGGATACAGCTCAAGATCGAGTATTTCCGGCCAATTAGAGGATAATTCGCGTCAGACACTCGGAAGTTATAATACGCTGCTTGACGACGATTCGGATGACGACGAGGAAGAGTCGGATTCTAGCAGCGAAGACGAGAGTGAGACTACGGAGGTTCATGAGAATATTGCGGTGAATTTGGAGAATCGATTGCCGCCTATCGCCTCAAACTCACGTCCGTCAAGTAGTAAAAGGAGCTCGGTAAGTATGGACGAGAAACCTTTTGTACGAAGTCGCACCCCCTCGAATTCTGTGTCGTTGCCTCCTCTTTGGGCACATGAGGGACCGTCCAGCTCGTTGCAGTCGTCCACATCGACAGGAACAGCTCGACGTATCTCCATTGGAATGACGCGCGTTGAGCTCAAATTGAAGGACGCAGAGATCGGAGACAAGTTCGACACTCCGCCGTCTAGACGAAGCTCTTTCGTAGGCAACATACGGCATCAAACATAATAGTTTACGAAAAAAAAGCATTTTTATCAAGCATTTAACCTATGACAAATTCTTCCTCAAAAGAGATACGTCACGAGCGTGGCAACGATAGCAGACGCAGCGAGCGACACCATCTGAGTGTTGGCCCCACTGGATCCGGAGCCCTTCGAATTCGAAGCCGATTCGTCGCCGACGGCAGTCGTGCTGCCACCAGATCCGCTTTCGGAACCTTCCATAGTGCTGGTCTCGGCCATCTCGCTGCCACTGGCTTCAGTCATGGCTCCACCGGCAGTGGGATCCACAGTCGTCGAGTCCATCATAGTTCCAGGAGCCATGGTTGCCATGGCTCCACTATCAGTAGGAGCCGTTGTCGCGGTGGTCCCCCCTGTAGTCGTGCCACCATTGGTGGGGGCCACCGTTGCTGCCGCGGGGGCTTGTTGAGCGGTGATACCCTGGGTGGCGATGGCGGCAGCAATGAGGACGACAGTGAAAAACTTCATCTTGAATGCGATCAGGAACAACCGGGGCGACACTTTGTAGATGCGAGGACTGGAGCGCAAATGTGCGAATGAGAAACTATAGCCGTCGCTTCCGAACCCGCAACACTGTTGCCAACAGCGACTGCTTGCAACAGGTAACGGACAAATGCTGCGAAAGAAAATCCACGCGACCGTTTTGCAACGAATACTTCGCCTGTACTCAGATAAAATTTAAGTGAGGACGGCGAAAATCCCTATAATAGAAACGGAGAAATTCTGTCAGCGTATGACTTCGAAACGCCACGCGTGAGACTTTAAAAGAATCTGGACAAAGTGATGCACGAGCAAAGACTCGAGTTGGTTCGATTAATGAGGTAGCAGCAGTATTTTTTATCTACATCGCTGCGGAAGAGAATGGTGGCACCAAAACTAGGATCAAGTTCTACTTAAATGAGAGCTCCAATAGCCACCGCAACGATGGTGGATCCGTACAGCGCCATTGCCTCAATACTGGCAGCACCCGAGCTCGAGCCGGTGTCCGCGAGCGAGTCGGACGCGGCACTGGCAGCCTCTTCAACGCCAGAGTCACTGCTGCCAGAGTATTCTTCTGACGCTTCGTCGCTCTCGACGTTGAGATCCTCCGAGCCACTTGAGCCGCTTTCCGAGTCGCCCACTTCCACGTCGGTGGTGTTGGAGCTTGCGCTTGAATTGGATACGTTGTTGACATTAAATCCAGTCAAGTTTGGCTCCGACGACGATTCACCGGCGCTTCCCGAGACGCTGGATCCTGCTGAAGACGCAGACGCGGATGTGAATCCCGACATTGCCAGTGATGCGGACGCCGAGAGAGAGGCAGCCGTCTCAGCTGAGGACACGGTAGCCATGGCGAGAACAAGCAGGAGCGGGGTCAGGAACTTCATATTGGAGCTGAATCGGTGAACTTAAGGAATGAGTCTTTGTATGCGAAGATGTGGGAAGTCATTCGAGTCTCTTCGGGGTAAGGAGTCAGAGGAAACCGTCGATTTTTTGCTAGAAACATGGGCACGACCGCACAATAATGATGCGGCCGTTGAGACATAACTCGGCGTTGCTTGCGCAAGTCAGCTCACGGAAAATGTGAAGGGTTTGGCGCTGGACTTTATCCTCCTCCGTGAATGACTCCGGCAATTCATTATTGTGATAATTTGATTTTGGTACTCCACCCGAATGACCTACTAGTTGTACACTCGTAAATAGCCTACAAGTTGTAGCAAGAAAAGAGTGATTTTTGGCGCATCGTGCAGCTGATAAAAACCCGAATAGCAAGCATGTAAGCTACAGTGTACCTATTATATCTACTTTGTCGGACGGTTGAAGTAGTTCACGTTAGTCGGATCGTCGCTAGGGGCCAATTGTTGTCGGATTACATGTGCATGATTATGGGTGGAAGCATGTTAGCGTCAAGGAAAACTGCATAGATTGAAATTAATTGAAAAATAGCAGAACGATTTCGATCAATCGTCCCAATCTAAAACCCAAAATTTACGGGACAGTTTGCCTACCTACATGAGTGTGAGTACTACAGATACCAACAGTACAGACATCTTGAGACCCTTGTCTCCCATACCGGGATCAGCGCTATTACTACTGGAAGCAGAATCCTGGCCGACGATGTTCTCGGTACCGAAGGAGCCCGAGCCAGACTGACTGTAGCCTGACTGGTAGTAGTTCGCTTTGGTGTCACTTCCAGTACTACTACTACCACCATTGGACGATGCACTTCCACCCCTAAGCGAACTGTTGGTCGATGAAGTCGCTGCTTCCCGATGAGGAAAAAGTCGAGGTTTCAGTTGACAAACTTCCGCTGGTCGAGCTCGATGTTGCTGTGGTGACGTTGCCCTCCGTCAACCCATTTCTACTAGTAGTTGTGGAACCCTCGGACGTCATGGTTTCCTCATTCGATGAACCCGTTGTCGTTGTTGTCGCTGTGGGTGCTGTTCCATCAGTAGCGCTAGAATCCGGGGTAGTCAACAAGGCAGTCGCGCTGTTAGTAGACCCCGACATCGTAGGCTGGTTGCTTAAAGAAGTTGTAGATCCTGCTGTACCAGATACCATGGTGGGAGAATCGGTCGTTTCGTCGGTAACGCTGGTGTCCGAGTCGGTCATTTGAAGACTTGGAGCTGCACCTATCGGCTCATTGCTGCTAGCGATAGAGGGCGTTGATGACCCAGAAGTCACAATATCTGAATTGGGGTTTGACGTTGAAGCTTGTGCAGTAGTTGTGGTGGAGCCTCCCAAAATCTCAGACGTAGCAATACCAGCAGCATTAGACCCTACTGAGATTCCGGACGAGACAGATACAGAAGTCTCAGCTTGAGTACTTGGCGTTGCTGCGTCGTCGGTTGAAGGCGATGTATTCGAGGTTGTTGATGAGATTTCAGTACTTGTCCACGTGCCAGTAGCTGCGACATTTGGGGAAGCCTCCGAAGTTGTTGAGCCTGCTGTGGTTGAGGTGGTTGACGCACCTGCTATCACGGTTGCGCCGTTGGTTACTGCGCCGTTGCAGTCGTCCAGGGATCACCGTATTACCCTGCGTATCTTGTTCAAAGTGGAATGTGGAGCACGTGATTTGAGCAGAGACACTGGAAGCGGCAAGTGCTACCGATGTGATGATCTGCATTTTTGAGCGAGATGGAATCAGTGGTAGAGATGGAAGTAGCTGAAGGTGCTGGTCTAAGTAAGTTGGAGAATGATCGAGTATCCTGTCCGCGCTCCACCGAGACGTGGAGATGAAGGTTGCTAGGGAGTTTCAACCTTGGTGCTTTAAGTGGCAGGGTAGCGCCTGTAGATCGTGCATTCTTGTGCAAACGAGTGGAAATATGCGGCAGTAACGAGCACTTTCTCTCTAGGATTGCTTTGCTACAAGTTGCTCACATTTTTTCCTGCCGTGACAGTCTATTTATGTGGTCGGCTCAAGAGCCGATTTTCGTGGTAAGAATGCCTTATACAATGCTCCGAGTCATTTGATCATTTAGTGGCTGATTTAAGGCGCCACGCTAGGGTAGAAACCACCGGACAGCCTACATTATACGTACGAAAGCCCCGATCATGACTTACTGACCTCAGCAAACGTGTTCAGATAATCTGTGCAGCAAGTTGCCATCTTCCAGTTGCTTTTTGTGCGGGATGATCTATGTGGGCATTTGCAATGCTTTTTATTGAAAAGACAACGTTGAATGGCTCTCTGACTAAACAGGCCCCTTTTTTGAAAGTTCCCTTACAAGCAGGGAACCCGAAAATGCAATACTAAGATTAATACATCGATGTGAGCTGAGAAAATTAATAATTCAATTATTTGCAAAACTTCGCAAGTCACGATTGTAGTTCAGAAACATTATCATCTCGAGCCTGGCTGGAGACATTCGCTTCCGTAGATCAGACAGCACCAGCTTAGCGAGAGAGAAGAAGCGCTCACACTCGTTAGACGTTGGCAAGATGTACGCGACGTCGACGTAGTGCGCAATTGCGTTTCTTGAACACCGCTCTCACAATTGAACGCTCTTCGGCGGCTCTTGAAGACGACCGTTCGAGATCAGGCGACCTAAATTTAGCGCAGGCTAATTTTTCCGCGACGTTCAGCGCGTCCCCACGCTGTAACTTGACTAGACCTTCCTCAAAATTGGGGTTGTTCCCGGCATAAATTAATAATTAAATTAAAAAATTCGGATTAATTTTTACGCATATTATTTTTCGGGTTCCCTGCTTACAAGGACCTTGACAGCAGAGAATGTCTCCCGATAACAAGAGGATATGTCTTGGCATCTTGGACCTGAATACAATAATTCAGAATCAAGAAACTCGCCAGCTTGGTGGTGCCCCCCCCCCCTCTCACACCACACACACACATCAAACACACACACGAACCATCAAGTGTTGAGCCGAATACTGTAGATTATCGCGATTGAGCCTCGATTTTTAATAATTAAGCTTTAAATACTACTTTGCAGTAATTAATAATTGGGCACCTAGTATACCTTATCTCTAGATGTCTTTTTTGTAGTCTGTATATGTATTATAGTCTGTATATGTATTATACACGATAGCTTTTTGAAACAATGGACCTATTTTACCGACCAATCAAGTAACGCAGAGAAATACATGTATACAGGGGTACAATGGTTGGATGGTGGTGACTCGAGAAAAGAATATGCAAGATAAGCTGATTAACCTTTACTGTCACCGCTCAGATTGATCAAATAGTAGCGTAGCTTACATCCGGATTGCTTTGTATTCTATCGAGAAAACAATTTCAATTGGGACAGGTGAGATAGATCCGAGCCATACATGGCTACACTTATGCCTAGTTATTGTATGGAGGGGTGAGCGAGAGCTTTCGTTTAAAAATTTTGTGAAAAACAACTTGTTTCTATCTAACCATACAAAACGCCTTCTGGGGCGATGCTTTTCCTGCAAGGCTGGATGATTATGAATTTTCGAGCCGAAGTTTGACCCGAACGATCTTATTAGACTGACACCGATTGCAGACTTAGCCGAGTGGAGCAATTCTGCGGAATAGTAAAGGTATCTTCGCTGTCGAACAATGTTATTTACCCCGCTTCAATTACTATACATGTAATAACTTAGCAGTGAAGGTGTCGTCAATGCACAGTCCTTGTTGTAAACTCCGTGGAGACGGCTCGTAAACACAGAACGAAGCGCTTCGTTCTGTGTTGAAGTTTCTGTCTCCTCGCCGAGTAGTCTTCAACCTTTCTCATCGACTCCTGCCCTGGAAAATTCGCATTAGAAATCAAGCAAAGCTCAGTGTCCAAATGTACGACGCCACCGGTAGGTCGTGGTTGAAGTTAACGCGAACTTGAAGGCAGTGCTTTCGAGTCGGATCCAATTGAATCGACGCTCGAGATACAGTACTGTACAGCCCCTGCCGTGAATCGCGAAAATACACGCCTCCACTTACGCACAAGGCGAGCAAACGCTAGGACTCGTAGCGTTTGCTCGACGGGAAAAAAATAACGCAGACTCTGTCACAGAGTCTGTGACCGTTGAATCAATTAGCTCAGCGAATACCCCCGTCCAACTATATGTGTGGAAAGCTTGCGCGTCTCTATTGTTTATCTTTGTCGCGTTAATGAGCTTCCGTGCGTCCCACAAGATCAGCAGTTTTAGTAAGGGCCTTGCCAAGGTCCCGCGGGAACTTCAACCACCATCGAGTTTTCTTTGATGATTTGTTGATATCTCGCTCTGCATACATGGCTGCTTACTTGAATGCAGTGCATGTAAGTCAAGACCCGTGCGGCGCGAACCACCGCAACGGCGTCTTAGCTTGCATCGGTATGTACACTTCAAGTGCCAATGCACCCCCTTGAGTTGAGTTCCAACCCGTCTGAGCGTCCGGCTCATGCGCTTCTGAAGCAGATATCTCACTATCTTCAGACTTCAGATTTTGGTGTTCACTTCGACTTCCAAGGTCATTTCCCGATGGTCCACGCCCGGCTGCTTGAAGCTGTATCCCGTCACGTTTAGACTCAAAGAGACTGGTGATTTGTCAAATCGAGTCAAACCCATGTTCAACCGGGCTGGTCATCCATTCTACGAAGTAAACTTTCTCTTGGTCTCCTTACTCAAGATAAAGTCACACCTCGACTCATTCTTCGTTTTGCGCTGAAGCAACACATTCCGGTCTACACGTCGCACTCGTCATGGTGGCAATACCGATCACCAGTAATCGCCACTCTTTGGATACCGAACCAACCGAAGGCAGTCGCACCTATGCCATCATCGTCTGCGCCTTTGCGTCGCTCGGAGGTTTTTTCTTTGGCTATGACCAAGGTGTGACCTCCGGTGTGTTGATCATGGATTCGTTTCTAAACGACTACTGCGTCGGCTGGCACAATTTCACGTATGACGAATGCACACGCTCCACCTCTCAACTTCCTGGAGAATGGACAACCTTCACTGTGTGGTACAATATGGTCTACAACCTCGGTTGTCTGGTTGGTGCTCTGATCGGTGGCTACGTCGCCGACAAGTTCGGTCGTCGAGCTACCATTTTCTCCGCCGGCGTGCTGTTCTGCATCGGAACTACCTGGGTGTGTCTGAACCCCGCACACGACCACACACTCATGTATCTTGCACGTATCGTGCAGGGCTTCGGTGTTGGCAACTCGTCGTTCTCGCTTCCGTTGTTCGGATCCGAGATGGCTCCAAAGGAGCTTCGAGGTCGTCTGTCCGGGTTGATGGTCTTCCCAGTTACGTTCGGACAGTGGCTTGCTAACCTGATCAATATCCCGGTAGAGGACGACAGCAACGGGTGGCGTATCAGTAACGCCGTAGCGATGATCCCTCCGGTTATCGTGCTCTGTGGTATCTTTTGTGTGCCTGAAAGTCCTCGTTGGACGTATCAGCAAAAGGGCAAAGAGAAAGCTGAAGCCGTTCTTAAGCGTCTACGCCAGACAGAGAACGTTCACCATGAGCTTCAAGCTATCGGTGACCAGATCGCTCAAGAGGAGTCCGAAGGACTGGGACTCAGGGAGCTTTGGGAGCCATCAGTCCGTAAGCGTGTCTTTATCGCCATGGCGTTTCAGTTAGGACAACAGGCGACCGGTATCAACCCGATCATGACCTACGGTTCGCTCATCTTCAAGGACATCACCGGTGCCGGTATCTACGCGTCGCTTCTGCTCAGTGGCGTCAACTGCTTGAGTACGATGCCCGGTTTGTTCATGTTGGACAAGTTTGGACGCCGTCAAATGGCTCTCATTGGCGCTGTGGGGATGTTCATGGGTCACCTCTTTGCTGCCGTTCTGTTCACTGCGATCTGCGATGGAAACGTCGACGACTCTGGCTGCCCTGAGGTCGGTGGTTGGTTCATCTGCATTGGTACAGCGTTCTTTGTCTTCAGCTACGCGGTCTCGTGGGGCGCCGTGCCCTGGATTTACTGCTCGGAGATCTTTCCGATGAACGTGCGAGCGACGGCGGTATCGCTGTCGACGGCTGCTAACTGGGTCGGCGGTGCGCTTATGACGGAGATTGTCAAGCTGTTCCCACACCTGAACATCAACGGCGTCTTCTTTCTGTTCGCCGGACTCAGCGTCTGCTGTGGCGTGTTTGTCTACTTCTTCTGTCCGGAGACTAAGGGTCTTCTTCTTGAGGACATCGAAGAACTTTTCCACTCGCGCACAAGCGCCAAGTCGCCTGCCTACGTTGAGGCTAAGTCTCCGGTCGTTCTGGCGTAGAATGGCCCCGTCCAACTCGTCGATCAACAGTCGAAGTACCAAAAACCTGTAAGTGTCATACAACCGAAAATAAAATCAATTGAGACCTGTAAGCTTACAAACTAACCCTTTTTAAGGAAAACCTTCAGAAACAGTAAAATGCATTGCAAGAAAAGAGATACTACATACGAATTTTATTTTGCGATTAGGGGGTTTCAGCTTTTTATAATTCAGATTTTGGCGTCATTTCTTGGGCGTTTCAGTCCGGAGGCTCATTTCTCGAAGCGATGAGAGACTAAAAATCATGACAAGAAATTATAACTGTACCCCCCCCCATTACTACACTGTAGTAAGTAGTACATGAAAGTCCGCCAAAGATTTCATTGTAAGAGTATCGCAGTTCGAGGCATGAAATATGGCAGCTCAAGGGGATACCCACGCCTAAAAAGAACCGAACCGAAACCTGGGCTTTGATAAATAATCAGAACCACCAAGAATCAGGAACTGGGTTATGATAATTTTGGGGCTCGGACACCATCCCACTTGAGACAGCAGAACATACACAGTCGGTTCAGAACCAGTTTATGCAACCGTCAAAGGTTCGATTTCTCATGACACCATTGGTCCGTTGTGTGCGGTAGTTACAAGATGGAACGGATACCCTTTGGCTCCAAAGGTAACCACAAGATAGGATATAAGATGCTAATGCGTGCAGCAGCCCGTCGCGCCAAAGCATCCCATGCAGAGCAAGATGCTGAAAGAGGACAAGCGATAATGGAGTTCGACGAATTTGAGTCACCGCATATATCCGGCCAGCCTGTGCAACGGCGTTGTCAGCTCAGAATTGAAGATTAGATCGATGGAAACCAGCACATGCGCCAGCTAGTTGTACAAGAAGAAATGGTAAGTTTAGAAAAGGGCGCATATCAAGAAACAATCTATGAACACGCGCTAATAGAGACCCGGAATCGTGCAATCGAGCATGAAAGACACATAAAAGGCCGCATGAATCAGTTGGTCGCTCACAGCGACCATCAGCTAGCTCAAGATACCGGTACCGAAGCCTCAGAGAGAATAATTGAGCAGCAATTACAAGCGCAGCTAAATCAGTCTCATGAAGAGATTTGCTTAAGAGCGAAAGCTGAAACGCTGCATCTGCAGAACTCACTTAAAGTTGCGTTGGAGAAGGCTGAGACGGCATCTCACGAGCGTCATAAACAACGGACAACAGTACAAGAATCGCAGATATCAGAGTTGTCGGAGCAATTGAAAGCTCAAATTGCGACAACGTTTCTTGAGCAGGCGTCGACAAGTACATCATTAATGGCCGATCTGGAAAACAGGTTCAAACAGGCCAATAATTTGATAAAAGCAGATATAAGAGCATATGCTACCCATGTGGACACTCGTATGGAATACACAGAGAACAACGCGCGTATATACACAGACAACCAAATGATCCGATATCGAAACCCGGCTTCAACAAAAGCTCGATAACGCTTCCCAATCTCACCGCTTAGAAGGGAGACAGCAATCCGCTGATATCGCACACCTACTGCAACTGCAGCTTCAAACTACGCAGAAACGAATCGAAACGAACTATCGCTTAATAAGAAGCAGAATTCAATCGAAACAGGACCAACGAATTAAAGAGATGCAACAACAAACAGACACGCAACTTCGTGACTTCGGCAATCGCTTCAAAAGTACCCAGGCCGAGTTACCTCAACGCGTTGAGACTTTGGTAAAGTTGAGCTTGGAACGACGCAACGACTCGCTTCAAGACCAGCTTCAACAAAAGCTTTTGAAAGCGCAAGCCCAGCCCCTCCGTGATATAGAATCTAAGAACCAGAACTCTTTCGCTGCTATAAGTGCAAAACTGGACAGGGCAGCGGTGGAAACGGCCGGCTTACACACAAAACAGGAGCTGTTTGAAAGTAGAATTGAACGAACCATGCAACACACAAAAAAAGAAGTCAACGAGCACCTGACGTCAATCATTCTCCGCTTGGACAAGCGGCACGATCTATGGCAAACCACACCCATCATTGAATCCTCTCAAGATGTATCAGTTGCTAGCGAGACCCAAGCACCGATGTCATTAGAGACGAGACAACTCGACATTCCTGATGCAGTAGTAAATTCACCAAAACGAGGAGCAAGACCACTACCTGACACGCAACATGGCACTCAAGTACTATCGGGTGGCATGAACCAGTCCCTAGAGTCAGTAGCACAATTTCAGCAAGCTAACAATGCTGAGAATAATTCATCGTCACCGCGCTGGGATGGCCGAGCACAACAATCATTGGATCAAGCAGCTTTAAGTAGACTGAATTTGCTTGAGGCTCGCAGGGCTGCACAGCGTGGTGTGGAATTACGAATTCAAGCAAGGTATGCAGCATTACGACGAGAAGCCATGTTGCGAAAGTGATTCCTCTCGCCTCACTCATTTAACTCGATCCGTCTCCGCTCTTACCAAATCCATTCAATTCAATAGTTCAATTCATATCTGATCGGCCATAACCTTGCCATTTCGTTCGACTACATTATCCGCGGTAGTGTTTCAGCAATGACATGTATCACAACTTCCGACTCAGAAGTGTTATCGATGCATTTGATACTTATACTAGTCCTTTAAACAAGGTTAGTTGGAGCAGTAGCGAGAGCCGCCTCGACGGAAGCTTGACGCTGATGCGGCATCATGTTGCATCTTCAAATGTGTAATCAGCGCCGATGCAAGGAGCAGAGCCGATTGCGAGATCGTTGCAGAGTCTTTTGTACGCGTCCGCGAGCGACGACGAACGCAACATAGCCCTCAAGAAATCGCCACTGATGCAGCGTCTCGCTGACTTGTTCCGTGAGCATTTGAAGAACGTGAAGACGTTCGCTCGAAGAGCTGCGGTGCGCGCTCTCGAAGCGCTTCTGAGGGTCCACGCAGGCGACACGGCTCACGCATCATCCAAGAAAGACCAATTTGACATCCATACGCGCAGTACAGACTCGTCTTTTGTTGTCCGCGCGCAGTCTATCAAGTCGTTGTCAGCAATTCTACTCAAGTTCCCACGCGATGAAGATTCGCACAACCTGTGAAGCCTAGATGTTCTCCCGCTGTGTGTTGACCTGGAGACGAGTGTGCAATCTTGATCGTTGGAAGCGACAGGAAGAGCTGTGTTTGACCGAGTCCTAACGTGGCTCGAGTCACGTCGTAACAAGGCGCTACGAGAAGCCCCCGACTCCGTTTGGATACAAGTGGCGCATCTTGATGGGGTCATGGCTGGCTGTTTGCAAAAGGCACTGTGAATGCTCATCAAGAGCGACATAATCGACGTCGAGAAGATCATCAAAACGTGCGGCTTTGACATCGAGTAAAGCGTCAGTCTGTACAGCTCTGGTAATGAAGAAGTGTAGTAGATATGTCGAAAGGATTAAATAAGTCGTTTCAACCCACGATTTAAGTGACAATCTCACTAAGTACGATGCGTTTATTCATATATAAGACATGTATTCTTTTTATAATAAATCACAGGCCGACGTCACAGCGCCAGTGTGTTCGTGTCAAGATGCTGGAGCTAGTCGTCGCCCCAATGAACAACGAGAACGACTTCGTCAGTGCCTCGCCGGACGGTACCGTCGTCTCGACTCGCTCGCTGTGTTGGTCGACCGCGTGTAACTCATACAGAGCTCTCTCTCTCTGTCCCGAGAACAATAGCATCACAATCATCGAAGTCGAGCGTCGGACGTAGCGTTTTGGGCGCCTAAATTGAGGCTGGGCATCATGTGTTGTGACAACAGCCTGGCGAAGCCTGTCAACCTCGTCGTCCCGAGTTCGCTTGCGTGCTGATTGAAGTACCGTTTTATCGGAATTAATGCCGTGAACTTCTTTTAGATGTTTTGTGCTTTCGACGTCTTACCGTAAAGCTTATAATTCGATGGTGTTCGCGACAGCTTTCACTTCCGAGACAAATCCATCCCATCGAGCTCGGCTGCCACTCTAACGCCCAACTAAAAAATTATTGACCGCTCTCCAGCCTTTGAAGGACCAATGTGAACCCAGGTAATGGTTGGAAGTTCTTTATTGCGTCTTGTACGGCAACAGGGACACTGGTTTAATTTGGGTTTACTGCGGGGGGCTGACGAAGAATCTCCACTGGCCAACTAAGACCTCGAGATGCATCGCCTAGTATAGGAGTGCTTTCCGGCTCTTGAAAGTTGTCTTCACCTTGGTCGATATGCCCGGGAGGAGGGCAAAATAACGACGAGGACTGTTGGGTGGACCGTTGTGCCTGTGATGCATCCACGCTACGACGCTGGGCTGGTAAATGATGAGAGGCTGTCATCATTCCGAATGATGGCGGTGTTGCAGGTGAGGTAGTTGATTCCGGCTGAAGCAGTCGGCGACGGCTCTGGTCATGCTCACTGTCACTATCAGTACGAGTAAACCAGGATCTCATGCAGATGAATCACTAATAAAAGGCCTTGTCCTTGGCGGGGTGTTAACGTCAGGAGCAGTTTGAAAAGTGAAATGAAATCTCCAGTGTCAAATCAAATTTGAAAATTACTTCTTATCAGCAAGGGAAAACAGCTGTAGGCATATGTAGAAGCAGTAAAGCGTGTCGTACGTCGGCTTTCCACCTACTGTCGCACGTTGATGTCATTTTGAGAAGTGCGGCTTTCCCAGAAGGCAGTCTCTAGCAGCGGTTACTTATTTCTGTCCAATAAAAAAGCGAAATTCGTCCAGGAAAGTACTGTCAGAAATGAAACTGTGAGCTTCAGACCATCCGTTTCACTTTTGGGTTCACATAAAATTATGAAACGAAGCATGAACCTCGATTACTGGAATTACTGGGTTGATACCCATAGAGTGAAACTTACGATCTGAGTAACCGTCGGTAACTAGTTCTATACCGGTAAGTTTATTTAAGGCGTGGGGATACCTGTGTAAGCTGTAGCCGCACGCCTTTTTTATAAGCTGATCCATCGAATTCACCACCGACAAATCCAACCACAACTCTCAGATCGATGCACAAAATAGCACGCTCAGAGATATCAGGAGCTGATGATACTGGAGCGTTCTTGCTTTTTTTCATCCAGGATAATTTGAGCTGGAATAATCGCTTATCAGATAAAGGCGTGACTACCCCTTCGCGGTTAATCCAGATAAGATAAAAAATGAGCGATTCAAAGAGGATCATTGCTTATGCGCAGGGACTAACTAGCATTACTCAATACAACAAAAGTCACCAATACATGTTAGAGCAGCGGTCATTCTTTTCACGACATTTCTCATCTCTTTTTTTAAAATAAACTTTATTTTCTTTTACTGACTTTCATATCACTTTTATGACTATCTTTACTCTACAAACGAACTAGAATCTGGGTTTTCCTCCTTCAGACTTCACTGCGAATCCCTGCCATTCCCGATTTGCTCAGAGCTCGGTCGGCTCAAGAAGCGCAGAGCTTCCGTAAAGAAGCAGCCAGGCGGCCAGCGAGATTTTTTTTATGACGCCCGTAATCGCAGCCTGTCCGCCCATCCTAGTCAGGAACCCACCGCGCTCGTCGTACGCCAACCTCGGGTGTCATACGGCTCGTCTGGAAACGCCCGACGGGCTCACAGGCGCGCGGGACGGCCCTGTATACGCGACTCTCGACCGCGACCCGTGTCTCCTGGAGACCAACGCGAGCCCGTTCTTCGACGACGCGGATGGTGTGAAGCGGTCTGCCTGGCAGGCCGTCCTGACGTTCCTTCTTCCGGGACAGCGCCGCTCGGACCTTGAGGCTACATCCAGGAGCACGTGGACGTCAAGTACTGGATCCCCCACTGGCGCTTCACTAAAGTTACTTACGACAAGACAGCGGAGCTGCTGGAGCGTCCGCTGCTCTCGGTATTTCAATTTCTTCGGTTCGCCACTTTCTTCGTGGCGTCTGACGCCCATCCTGACAGGTGCATCAGGACCTCTGAGGTCTTATTGTGTGGACAAGTACTCGAGTACGGACACGTCTCTTCCATTACGTTGGTGGACACGAACGACATAGTCCTAGACCCCGACTGTGACTACGTCTGCACAGTGGCTATTCGTGGTTACACTCGAGACGCTAGACAAGTTGTCGTCCTTCCCGTGGACGAAGTGCGCCGCCATGCGATCGTTCGTGAGGAATTCATTCTGTTTTTTCCACGGTACACCTGGTTCTTCCTCCTCGCCCCCGTCCAGAGCGGCATGGCAGGCGCTCACTTCGTCGCCTCCGACCTACGGTAGTGATCAGCGGCAGGCTGTCGTCGTCGTGAGCATTAAGAGTGGTAATGTCCTCTGGGGCGGAGTCGTCGTACTCGTGTGGGGCCACCAGGTGTCATGTCCAAGCTACAGGCACAATAGAGGCGTTCGCCCTACGGGAGGATGCATACGTAATGGCTCGGCGGTCCGGATCCACAGCAGAGTGGCCCTTCGTATCTGGTGCGGGAAAGACTCGGTCAAAGGCCGGGCCATTGTCGGCTGGACGGGTCGGAGGAAACGTAGTGAACGCCTGTCAAGTCGTTCTGAGCGGGGGGCGGGGAGGAAGAACCAGGTGCACCGTGGCAAAAGTCCAGAATGAATTCCTCACGAACGATCGCTTGGAGGCGCACTTCGTCTACGGGAAGGACGACAACTTGTCTAGCGTCTCGAGTGTAACCACGAATAGCCACTGTGCATACGTCGTCACAGTCGGGGTCTAGGACTATGTCGTTCGTGTCCACCAACGTGATGGAAGAGACGTGTCCGTACTCGAGTACTTGTCCACACAATAAGACCTCAGAGGTCCTGATGCACCTGTCAGGATGGGCGTCAGACGCCACGAAGAAAGTGGCGAACCGAAGAAATTGAAATACCGAGAGCAGCGGACGCTCCAGCAGCTCCGCTGTCTTGTCGTAAGTAACTTTAGTGAAGCGCCAGTGGGGGATCCAGTACTTGACGTCCACGTGCTCCTGGATGCAGCCTCAAGGTCCGAGCGGCGCTGTCCCGGAAGAAGGAACGTCAGGACGGCCTGCCAGGCAGATCGCTTCACACCATCCGCGTCGTCGAAGAACGGGCTCGCGTTGGTCTCCAGGAGACACGGGTCGCGGTCGAGAGTCGCGTATACAGGGCCGTCCCAGCGGCCTGTGAGCCCGCCGAGCGTTTTCAGACGAACCAAACGACCCCCCAGGTTGGCGTACGACGAGCGCGGTGGGTTCCTGACTAGGATGGACGGACGGGCTGCGATAACGGGCGTCATAAAAATTCTCGCTGGCAGCCTGGCTGCTTCTTCACGTAAGCTCTGCGCTTCTTGAGCCGGCCGAGCTCTGAGCTCCTGGCGGCAAATCGGAGAATGGCAGGGATTCGCTGTTCGGTCCGGTTCGGAAAACCCGGCTACCTTCTTCGTACTGAACCGAACACGTTCCGCGTGCGGTTCGAGCGGTTTTTCCAGAACAGCGGATCTAGAGGAAAATCAAATCCGCTGTTCACTGTTAGAGGTTTTGCGGAACAGTTCCTTATCTTAATGAGAACGATGGAACCCAAATACGTGGATATTTGTCTTGGAATTCTCCGCTCACATCGAGTGAGTTGGAACGCCTCAAATTGAGATTCTCAGCCATCAACCACCGCTTCTTATGAGCATACACCTTCTGACGAAATTCAGACAGCCCCCCCCCTCCCGATCGAGCTTTAGAAACAGCACTTGACAAGGGCACTGCACGACCAACCAGAGAAAAACCGGCCGAAACATGGGGAGCTACCATCCGTACGTGGATTTTTTTTCGCCTTTGGTTTGTGCTCAAGCGAAGAAGAAGTCAAGATCGGCACATACCTAATCGAAATTTCCCGGGACTTACAATTGTTTACCATACCTATTCGAGAATTCTTCGCTTACAGTCACTTATGAAATTGTGAATTTCGCATTACGGTCGTTCCTGTCTAACTGCATAGCATGGAAAATAATAGGTTACCAAGATTAGCTCGTCAATTATTTCTCGATGGCATCGGACGCAGATCAGCGCTTCACGGAGGAGTATTTCCTTCAGACCACAGCACCCAAGTGGACCAACGAGAGGCGTGAGCAGGTGAAGATCTTTCTGGACCACCACCGCGTCGTGGGCAAGTGCGTCGCGGTCGTAACGTCTGGAGGCACGACTGTCCCGCTCGAGCGCAACACTGTGCGCTTTCTGGACAATTTCTCCACGGGATCACGAGGCGCAGCTTCGGTCGAGTATCTACTGGAACTGGGCTACGCTGTCATCTATGTACATCGTCCGGGATCGGTTGCCCCCTTCGCCAGACACATACAGAGAGCCACCTCCTCGTCCTTGGACGTGGACTTCCTGCAGCACGTCGACACACGCAATAGTAACGAGCAGATCCAGCTGCTTATTGAAGACCCCACAGCCAAGAAGAACGTGGTGGATGCAGTCAATACACTACGCAACGTGCGTGCGACTAACACGCTGCTTACGCTGCCGTTCACGTCTGTAGACGACTATTTCTTCATGCTACGGATGGTGGCAACCTGTGTGGCTCCCTGGAAGGAACGTGCAATGTTCCTTTTAGCAGCTGCCGTGAGTGACTTTTACATCCCTCAACAGGACTTGGCAGTACACAAGATCCAGTCACGAGCAGGTCCATTGGAACTGACGCTGCAACAGGTGCCAAAGATGCTCGGCGTGTTGCGTCACAACTGGGCGCCGCAGTCTTTTGTGGTGTCGTTCAAGCTGGAAACAGACTGGGATATACTCCGCAAGAAGGCCAAGCAGGCGATCGCCAAGTACGCGATGCACTTGGTGATTGCCAACGAGCTGCACTCTCGTTTCGACGAGGTGTTGCTGATTACGGACCAGGACGAGCGCTGCATTACTCGACCAAAAGAAGAAGCTGACATCGAATTTGGCTTGATGGAAGCGGTCGCTCGTACGCACTACCATTACATCGCGTCGCAGGACGTGTATGTGCCGGATGAAATCGGCCACCGCGTCTCACGTAGCATCATCTCCAGCTCTCGAGTGTGGAGGAAGTTGCCTCCATCCATGCAAAGCTTGCTGTCCGTAATGGACGAACACAAGGAGGAACTCTTAGGCGTTGTGGTCGGTGGGTTGCTGTCTGTAATGCTCAGCATGCTACAGAACAAGCTACGTCGCTCACACTAGAAGATAGAAAATCCTAGAATTTAGATAAGATAGCATTCCAGATTCTAGATTCTAAGTTGGACTGTAAAGCTGCTTTAAACCGTCTATTCACTCTGGTGCTGTCGCTTGAGATTCTCTAGAAATTCCTTCTTGGTCTCGTCCACAGTCATGCCACCACGACAGTTAGGCGAGGGTTTGACCTGCGCGTTCGCCTCCCATTGCTTGGGTGTCTTACTGAGGATACTGAGAGCGTGCACACCGTCGTCTAGTTCTTGTTGCAGCACGGCGTTGACCATGCGGTGGCGCTGGATCAGCGGCTTGCCGTCGAATTGGTCCGTGACCACCACCACCTTGAAGTGCGTCTCGGAGTTTTTGGGAACACTGTGCATGTGGCTCTCGTTGATCACGTCCAGGTGAGTGGGGGCGAAAGCTGCCAACAGTTTCTCATGAATACGACGCGCAATGGGACCGGAAGTGTCAGTCATGATGCGACGGAGCTGGAAAGAGGACGACGATGCACGTTAGACGCTGGCGACCTCCAGCGGACACTGCAACACCTCACCTGATGCGTCGAGGGGAACAACATTGCCAATTCGACTCTGATTGGCAGGCGACACGAGAATAAATTATCAAAACATCTTCTCAAGCAATTTAATTGGTAGAAATACAGACGTTATAACCAATCGTGACTATCGAAAAGTAGCACTAACTGCACTTTGTTCGCCACTAAACGTCACTGCTGCCACCGTAAGCCAACTCGACGACGTGGCTTCTTATTGAGATACTGAAGTCATCATCATGGTACGTGAAGGCTGAAGCTCCTGCGGCTCGAGGAGGCTTCTCTAACGGTATTTAGCGAGCAGATTGAGTCCGTCCTGCTTGTGAGTCGCCAGGGCAAGACGCGTCTAGCCAAATGGTACATGAACGCGTCGATCAAGGAGAAGACGCGCATGATCCGCGACATTACGTCGCTGGTGCTCTCTCGCCCTCACAAACAGTGCAATTTCATCGAATTTAAGGAAAAGAAGATCGTCTACAAGAGGTGCGTGGATATAGTTTATAGTAATGCGTAACGGAAGCTAGAGATTTAATTGTTATTGCTTTCAGATACGCGAGTTTGTACTTCATCGCGTGCATCTCCAAGGACGAGAACGAGCTCATCACGCTTGAAGCCATCCACCTGTTCGTCGAGGTGCTGGACCGCTACTTTGGCAATGTACGACTGTATTTAAATTGCTATGAGTGGAGTAACGACAACTGATAGGACACGTCAAATGCAGGTGTGCGAGCTGGATATCATTTTCAATTTCCACAAGGTACCACCAGCAATATTTTTTTAGAGATAATGTGGAATTTGTAAACAGATATTTATTTCGTTTTTTGCAGGCGTACTACATTCTGGACGAGCTCTTCATTGGTGGTTATCAACAAGAGTCGAGCAAGAAGGAGATCTTGCGCATCTGCACGCAACAAGAAGACTATATGGACGAGTCCAAGGAGGAAGGATTCACGCGTCCTCGCACGGGTACCCGCTAGTCGATTCGACCTAGTGTCTCGGCGACTTTAAAGTAACAGCCAACTGCTTTACATCAATCCAATGTTTTTTTTCTTGTCCTAAAAAGGCCCTAGCAAATTAAATTCGGAAGAAATAACTGCAATTACCACAAGTACTACAGAAGCAACGTTTGAGTTATCGTCTCCACTTTAATCGTTTACGCCTGCGGACTACTCAGTTTCCCAATCATTTCTAAACCCTAGCAGCCTAAGCAGGTAGTAAAGCCCGAAAACGCTTCCAAGTCCACCAACAAAACTAAAGAGGAGAACAAGTACTCCTTCATTCGGAGACATCGTTTCCTGTTGACCCCTCGACAAGTGCTTTTCGACCTGTCGGACAGCTTTCAGCGAGGGAGATGTCTGCATCGATTTGACGAAGTTGGGGTCTTTGCTTAGACTCTTGACTTGTTTCATCAGCTCCGGGTTTTCCTTGATACTTTTGATCCCTTTCTGAATAGCGGGGTCGTTGGCCAGACAATCCGCCTGCTTTATAAAGCTAGGATTCTCCCTTAAGTTCGGCAAATTCTTCGGGTTCCTCTTGAGCAAACTCTTCAATTTGCCGAGATTAAAAAGCGCCCTCTCTTCATTGTCTTGGTGGGGGCCTCGGCCATCAGGATTGGCTGAATCTGCAAAGCGTTCCCGAGTTTCGTTAGACTTGAATCCGTTTGGGAGGCCATGCCCGTATCAGTACGTTCGGCGCAAATATTGCCAAAGTAAGCGAAGAAGCTGAGTAGAGTCAGGAACAAGAACGAACGTACGCCCATATTGCTTGTTGACGTTGGTACTGCGAAATGTGCAATAAGCCCAGCACCGATAGAAACACAGCATTGTTTAGTGCCGCGCACAAAGCATGAAAACACAGGAACTATAAAAAAGCAGTTTATTCAGATTGGGGGATGTTGCCACGTCAACCAGTTTTCAAACTAACAACGAAGTCGCGAACTGCGCAAGGAACCTCGTTAATTTGAGCTGGCTAGCATACTACAAATAGCATAACGTGAGCTGCAAGTGAGCAGACTTCAAATAGCATAACGCTAGTTCAAATTCGTAATATGCTAACACTTATTATTTCTCGAAGTAAAAATTAAAGTAGATCACATAAATCGATGTAATGTGCTTTTCTACCAAAATTCCCTCCGATTGACGGCCCTACGCTCTGTCAGTAAAGCTTAGGCAGTAACATAAAATGGGAAGCGCTCCAAAGTACTTAACTTTCAGTGAGGCACAACGCTTTCTTCAAGCCTAGCAATTGCCGTTTAACAGTATGATACTAAGAACTTAAGGAAGCTCAACAGCCTAAGATTATTTTCTTTTTTTATGTTCGATGCGAGGGCGAGCTCTGCGTCAATTCCATTTATGCTCTGCAAACCGTATTCCTTCTGTGAATCACAGAAGGAATACGGTTTGCAGAGCTGAAAATAGACTGTGATTAGCGACAGCCAAATTCTTGAACCTATCGCTAAACAAAAAACATACCTACGGTAAATTGATTAGGTTTACATGTAATATTGCACTTTGTATGTTGTCAGTAAACAAATAAACCACAATACCGGTAGTACAAAATTTAGAGTGCAATGGTGTTGAGGTTAGGGCCCGTCACAGGGACCGCCTCTCCATCGTGCTCTCTATAAACTAATAATGAAGAGACACGGTATTTTTGACTCTAATAAATAATGTACTAAAATGTCTGGAGCATTTTAGTTCTAGACTATGTTTCTGAATGCCGCATACTAATTTCTTGTTAGTAGCCCGCTACTTTCTTAAACATTAATCTTACTTCTTCATTTACCGAGTCCACCACAAGCTCTTATTCTTTTACCAAGTCCGACACAAGCGTTCTCCTCCTACACTCAAGACTTCCTCTCCACTATGGCCGCCTAGACCACTCTACTTTTGTCCTCACTCCATTCTGTGCTGCCCTAACAACTCTGCGCTAATCATCCCTCCAACAAATGGCAAGCTATTTGTTTTGTCATTAATGAGTGAGCGTCGGCAATCACATAAGGATACGGTACATTCCTGTTTCACCGGCTCTATCTATATTTGCCAGGCTTTTTGCGTGGGACCTACGAAGTAGGAAATAACGGCGAAAATTGGCCATTCGGACATTATTGTCTACAGCGATCCTTACAGAAGATCAGAGGCCTTACGTAGGCCTTGTCAGTGCTGGTAAAGTCCATGCATTTCGACCAATCGTTAAAAGTCCGCCCAGGTCGTTTTGACAGAAGGTGGACTGATTGTTTAATGATATGGCTTAAGTTATAATTAGTCAATTAAAAAGTAGATGCTATGAGTCTCAGTTTTATTAGCGAAGAAGAAGCCAACCGAGAAGCGTAGCATGGCCTGGACCTAAACGACTACCAATTGATAGTCCTAGTGTTGGTGAAGACTCTCGCGTATCTGATTGAACAATGCTAGAGCCCTTCTAAGGTGCTGCCACGGACGCAGAGGCGGGGGTGCTCTTCACCGTGAGTGCTACTGATAAGCTGCGGATTTCGCTATGGATTATTGCTTTGGAAGGGACGCTGTTGGAGCAAATGGTCGAGGCGTAGCTGGCGCTGTGTCCGAAACACGGAAGTGCTTCGTGCCATTTCGGATAAAGACAAATATGAACGCAGCGCACAGGTCGCCAGTCTCGCTGCGTGAGACTTGTGACGGCTAGTACACAGAGGGCGTCATGGCCGTGAACGTCGATAAAAGCTTCATTAGGTTGCAACCGGGCATCTTGCCGGAGAACGCTTTGCTTAGCTTCGTGAGCGCTGAAGGTAGCGATGGGTGCGCAGACGAAGTGCTCGGCGACCAGGTTGAGGATATGGAAGTGCGTGTTTTTCGTTGTGGTGTCACTGTAGCTATTATGAACCTGGAATCTATTGCGTCGGGTACGTTTTAAGCTGCCAGTTAAAACTATATTGATGTTTTAACTACGTTGCTACGGTGATTGCAAAACCAGGCTGAATTTCCGGTCGCTTCACAACGTGGATCTGTTAATGAGTACGTACACGAAGCGCGTTTGAGCAAGGGGGCGCAGTTCATACCTGCTACGTTAGTAAAATGGAATCGAGGACTACCGAGTTCCCTTAGTTATCCCGTACTATTTGTTATGACATTCAGGAGGGCTCAACCAATCAAGGGCCGAATGGGAAAGACCTCCGTACATCCTTAGTTATCGCATTCAGTCGTACGAACTGTCTTTCTGTCGGTGCATCTTACCATCGAGTGGCTTCTACTCAACGCTGCCGCCCAAAAGGGCGGCCACGACTTCCAGGAGGCCGAGGCCGTAAAATGAGGAAGAACCTTGTGTCATCCTTTAGTGCGGTGCACAAACTAGAGGTCCTAGACCATTAGGCAAGGGATGGGGGCATCAAGCGAAACAATCAGTAATTTCTATCCTAATCTTCCTCAGTCTAGAAATGACAACTGCATTCATTGTTGGCGCCGGACACGGCCGAAACTCAAAACGTTATGTGGCGAATGTGGCGGTGCCAACAAGAAAAAGTTACGACCGATAGGTGAGGACACGGTGCTGCCAAAATATAAGGAGCTTTGTTTGGTACGCTGGATAAATTATGTAAATGACATCGTGAGCGAAATCCTTATATCGGGGAGAATTTAGTTTGGACGATAATTTTGACGACATGTTCCGACCCGTTGCAGATATTAGTCTACAACAATAGAATTTTTTTATGATCACTTTGGATAGCTAAGGGAATTCGGTATATGAAGAGCTCGTGTAAATCTAGCGTAAACATACGATGTACAGCGAAGTTTTGAGACGGTTCTAAAAGCGTTCATTTAAGACTTTTAGCTTGAGATATAACAATGAAAAGCAGCATTTATATTTACTTTTTGTTAGAATTCTGTCAGCCCAGGTGCTAAAGCTTTGTCCTTCTCGTCGTCGCTTCACCCAAAAAGATCTTCCAGCGTTGCCTTTTGGCCACAATATCCTTGAAGAACTATGTCTTCTTGTGAAAAGCTTCTGTCCTTATGATGAGGAAAGACAACCTTGTTTGCATCTGCAATTTCTTCAAATTCAT